TTTTTTTTCTTTTTTTTTTCTTTTTTGTGAACCTGATTGTGTTTCTTGTGGCATGTTTGCTCACTTATGTTGTTATGCTTTGATTTGAAAAAGAATTTAAGACACCAATTCAATCCATTCCTCCTCTCAGCAAGATAGAGACCATCAATTTTTATCAAAAGAATGGCTCATTTACATCATTTAAACACCAAAGAGTACATCATATAGCAAATGATTATCCAATATGCCACCAAGCATCAATATTAGACAAATGACCCTTTTGGTTATTGTAAAAATAAAAATGAGTACATTTTAAGACCACATAACTCTAGACTGTGGCACCTGCATAGTTATAGCTTACCCACAAAAATTGTAGATAGTATTACAGTTAAAAAATCATTTATATGATGGACTCACATAAGATAGAACTTAGTGATCTGCAACAAAAGCTCAATCAAAATTCTTGAACCAATTTTAAAAAATAACACACAAAACTAATATGAATAGTGTGGTATCTGCAGCAAAAGCTGCTACAAGAAATTTAAAGCTTTCCTGCTTTAATTTAAAGCTACAAGAAATTTAAAGCTGCTACAATTTATATTTGACAAAAAGTCTTCATTGACATTTAAAGCTCTCCTGCTTCTATACTGATTAATGGTAGCTTAATAATCTTAATATATAACGAGTCAAGAAGTTACAAATGAGTTTAAATAAGCCAGGAAGTTACTAATATAATGCATTGACTGGACTAAATCCTAGTAGCATGTTAAATGGAGAATGATGATGGTCATTTTTTCTTGATGTTGAGCATTATCAATAAAAATTCCAAGGGGCAACTAGCACAAGATGGTCATTCTATATGAAAAATGGTAAACAATAAATGGAAATATTATATGTTAGTTATTCATACAAAGACAACTTAGTAGTTCTTGAGAAGACTACAAAATTTGTCACTTCTTATTTTATTCCAACAACAAATATCACGCATTCAACTAAGACCTTCAGCACAGCTGAGAATCAACCACCAATTTAAAATTTTTACAAACTGTGGAAATAAAATAATCCATACAAATACTTAAGACAAAATTTTTCAACTTTACTTTGCAAAAATAAAAAATAAAAAATAAAAAAAAGGAGAGCAAGAGCTCAAAATTGAAACGATTGCCTAAAGTTTGACTCAATGATGCAAGAACAGCACTAAAATAGATGGTGTGATCTCAACAAACGAATAGGATCAAAACACCAAAAATCTTAAAACTGCCAAATTACTTGGCTAGCAACCCAATCCCTCTTTTTCCATAGGCCACCCTAAGAACAGCGTTAGTGCTTAAAGCAGAAAGCTTTGCTTGGCAGAAGGCTTCCCAGGAAAGATTTTCTAGAACCTGTGAGTCCTCTAAAAGTCTCAATCTCTCGTAAAATGCTTGCAGCTCAACTAAAAAGTCTCGAGTAGCTTCTCGAGACTCTGGAAGTTGATCGCTGAGTAACATCAATATTACATACTAATGAAGAAAAATAGTAACAAACTGTGATATATTGGGATATAAATTAATAAAAACAATTGGGTGAAGAAAGTAAATGAAAATTGAATAATGATAGCTTTTCTCTAACCTAATCCAGCAACAAACCTTATTCAAGCCTTCAACTCAAACTGATCACAATATGACTTCTAACATGACTGCAGGAAATCCTATTAGACTTAGCATAGGCCTTAAGAGAAGTTGTTTTCCCAATCATTCAATTTCAAAGCATGTCATTCTTATCAATGAGTTGGTTATCCTTAACCTTAAAGTTGAACATTTCATAAGCCTAACCCCAATTGGTCCTAAACAACAAAATAACAAAACAAAGGTGATTTTAATATTTTTAAAATGGAAGAAGGAAAACATGCATATAAAAACAATATTACCTATATGCAACATCATCAGACTCAAATCCAATAAATGTGAAGCCCCTGGAGATAGGATCTCTGGTCTTTCTGTTTCTAATGCAGCAAGGTTTATAGATATAATTCCAGGAAACTCTGTGAAGGCCCTCCACAAATCTCTATTGATATTCTTTTTCTTCAGAAGATTCCACACACGGACTTTGGGATCAATTTGTATGACCTCAGCAACTGTAAATCACCATAATAAAATCATAGCTGACGTCATAAATGTTAGACAAACATACTATAAATTGTACATATAAAATTAACTATGGAGCTATTTGAAGCATATCATACAACATTTCTCTTGCCACATATTCAATCTTCATTTGTAGAAGCAACAGATATTAGAATCTTCATGGCTCTCTCTCTCTCTCTCTCTCTCTCTCTCTTGTTCTTCATGAAAGAATAAGCTCAAAGTACACCATTCAGAAGTATATATCATAAAAAATAAGTAATGAATTTGTTAAGGAAATAGAGATAGAAAACAATACCTTTCTGCTTCTCTTGCTTTTTAACACTCCCTTAATAGTAGCCTTCTCCTCAATTATAATATGGAATTATGGATGTTTTTCTGATAAAAATAAAACATAATATTCATAGTTTCCACCCAAAAAACATAATCCTCAGTATATCATAATCAGCTAATCTCAAGTATAATAGTTAGACATAATTTCTTACGTAAAGTGAAAGGAAGCACATAAGTCCAATATTCAAATACTAATGAATCATAAATATCTTCTTTGGCAATATCCACATATTGTTCCATTTGATATGAAAATTGTTGAAATCAAACTGCACAATCTCCTTTCACAAATTTAATATTATGACGATGCTAACAAGAAGCAAAATGGCACAATTCCTCAATGGATTCCCATCTATGGAAGCTCTTACATATATGGATTGAAAAAAAACACATAAATACAACAATAGCTCAATAGTTTTCAATAGTTCCCATGTATCAAAATAAACAAAAGAAAACAACGGAATAAATAAATCTGAAGTTGAAAAAAAACCAAAGTAGCAATATTTTGAATAATATTCAGCTAATAAATTCTTAAATTCTCCATTCATAGGCCTACTATCTCATTACTTATTTGTTCCCTCAGCTCTGTCATCTCACTTGCACCTTCCCCATCTATAGTGAAGGCGGTGGAAGCCTCAGTCTCTTTTTCTACGAAAGAATGACCTAGACAGTATTCAAAGGCTTCTGCAAGCACATTTGCTTCATCCTCTTCTGCCAAATGGAAGTTGATATTGCTACGAGAATGATGTCTTCTAATGTATTTATGGAGAGTCATTGTAGCAAAGACAATCTGTACCTGCTTAGAGAAATTATAAAGAGGCGTATCACGGAGTATCACCTATTTCTTTTTCCAAACACCAAAATTCCTCTCAATTACACCACGTAGCGATGAATGACATTTATTAAACATTTCCTTTCTGTCTTGTGTAACATTGCTTGTACATGTAAAGTTTGATATGTGATACCTCATATCAGGAAATGCCTTTAAATAACCTTGTTATAATGGGTAACTAGCATCGAACAAGTAGTGTTTGCTGCCTTTAAATAACCTTGTTATAATGGGTAACTAGCGTCGAACAAGTAGTGTTTGCATAATAAATTGAATAATTAGTATCGAGATTCAAGTTCTTCATTCAATGAGTTCAATCCCGAGCATACCTACATGTGGATGTGGAAAGTTGCTATTGGGATCCCATGTTGTAGATTTAAAAACTTGACTGTCATGTGGGCTGCCCTGCCAATTGGCCATAACAAAAGTGAAACACATGTTAAAGTTGCAGACGACCATGACATTTTGGGTGGGGCTACCACAATGGCCGATAAATGCTACCTTATCATTATTTGGGATACTTACGTCAACATGTGGTCCATCAATCGCGTAAATGTAGTCTTGATAAGTAAATTTTATGTTTGACATATCATTGCATACCCTAACAAAATTAACTATAATGCATCCGAGAGAATACCTTGAAGAAGGGCATATAGCGCACATCCAATGATATCTCAGCGGGTATCTGCTCAAACTTATAATTTGAGGGTATGATGACATGAGAGGAAAAGCTAACAAGTACGCTTAATCCAATTGAGAAGTATCTGCTTATTATTTTTGATGAGTACTGAAATTGCTCCATCGCTCCTCGCATGAACTCATTTTGGGATAATATGAACAGTGTTATTGCGAGCACCTTGCATGGATTGGTCCTCGAAGATCCATGAAGTCCATGAGATCCTACAAGTAATTCCAGAAGATCGATAAATACTGTCTAGCTCATTCAAAACATATTACAAAATCATATTGGGTGCCCCGTAAGCAACTCTCTAATCCATTTGTCGCCAATATAAGAAGATGTCATGCATGGCGACCAAGCAATGTACGCGCTATAGTACTCATACATCAAATATATTGCCGTCAGAAACATCCCTCTCTACTTTCTTCTGTGTGTATCCATGTGGGCCTCCATCCGTCTTCTTCTATTTGCATCCATAGTGATGGGTATCCCTAATTGTTTCCCCTAAACAATTATTATTTATATGAAAGTTTGAGACAATAAAAAAAGAAACATTTGTAAATAATTAGGAAGGTACAAGGGAGTTCACAAGTACAACTCTAGAAAGAAAAAAATAGATAATGCAGTGGCAATGTTCTAGTGATGAAAAATATAAAACATCTCAAATGTTCAAACGATCATAAAAATGTCAAATATAAGACACTCTGCAGGCAGCAGACATCTATACAAAGAAATCCCTAAGGATCAGGTCCTCTAGCAATTCTGCTGCGTACAGATACAACTCTTCATCTACATAAATTTTGGTTGTAGCACTAAGGATTTCAAGTTCCTCCATGATAGTGCTTGAACGAGAAGCCTGACATTCTACTTTGAAATAAGAAACTGCCTCAGATAGCTCATTTCTGAGGGAAGAAGCACCAAATTTTCTTTTATCAACAACCCTCGGATGTTTAGAACGAGAAATTGTTCCATATTCATTCTGATCTGGGTTGGGGATGTCAATGAACTCAACTGAACCTCCAGGGGTTTTCAAAGTCACGACATTGTCAGCGAACTTTGTCTCGCTTGGGCTACATGCATAGTTCCCCGTTGCAACCACTCTTCCAAATACGCGGACGAGTTTCTCCTCCAATTCAGGCTCAATTCCAGAAAGCTTAAACTTCTTTGCAGTAGGCACCACCTACACAGAAATTGATAAACACACAATAAGAATAAATTATAAAATTACCAAATAAATAATTTTACAAACAAAGCTCACCATAAGTCTTTCAGCCCACCATTCTTCAGGTTCATCAAATGTTCCCTTCACCGGATCCCAACCAAGACCGACAGAACCCCTTTTCAACTCCTTCCAAATTTTCCATTCTTTCTTCATTTGGTCCCACTTGTTCTTCATTTTCAACCTGTCGTATTCCTTGCCTGCACATTCCTTGAAATTTTTGATAATATTTTATCACACTTCTTTATTGAAATAAGTCGTAGGCCTATTTCTTCGTTCAATTTCTTTAAGACAAAGATCGCAAAATATTATGTTTGTATCTTTTCCCACAATGCAGGTGTAGACACTTCTTTATTGAAATAAGTCGTAGGCCTATTTCCCCGTTCAATTTCTTTAAGACAAAGATCACAAAATATTATGTTTGTATCTTTTTTCCCACAATGCAGGTGTAGCAACCTCTTTAGGCTTATTATCCATGTTATTACTATAACAAAACAAAGTCATGAAACACTACAGTAAAATCAATTAGAAAGTAGAAAAAAGTAAAGCTTATGTGTTAGATATGTAAATACATAAGAATTGGGAGGCAACAAGCATTTGTTGTACAGTAAAAACTGAAACAAATGAGAAACTCTTGCAAGTCAACCTCCCCATGATAAAACTCTTGCAAAAACTCTTGCAAGATCTGCTCTTCTAAAACAGACCACAAACCCTCCATTCTATCAACACTAATGAAACAAATGATCCATGTCTTACATAATGTCTCACATAATCATAGGACAATTTTATAAAATAAAGAAACATAAAATTTTACACTATTTTCGAAGAAGAAACTTCTCAACTCGCCAAAAAAATTTTCCAAACTCTTCTCAGCGGCGAAGAGAGCTCAAAACTAAAGGAAGAAGATGGGTTTAAGATTACCTGCCTCGTGCTTCCTGGATTTGGTCATGGTCGAGGAAAAAGAACACATGCGGCAACACCAGGCGAGGCGAGATGGCGATGCACGAGAATAGGAGAAATGAGGGTTTCTTTGCGCCAAGGGCAAAAAGAATATTTGACAAGGTGAAAGCTAGGGTCGCAGGATCGATCCCGTGGCCAACTTTCCTTCCCTTTTAGCTTCCTTCCGCAGCGAAGCTGGGAGCCAAATGATGATAGTTCGCGGTTTGGGGCCGCACCGCATCAAAAAATCAGCCCCAAAAGGAGCCTAAGAAAAAACATATATTTTTAATTAGATGATTTATTTACATACATACTGTTGAATATTACCTAATTTTCATATTAAAGATCTAAACTACTGAACTTACAAACATGAAACCTAACTAGCTCTAAAAGTGCTTTAGCACTACCATCCCATTCTTTCTACCATTATTCTCTTGCCTAGTTAAACCACACAGAATCATTGTCACCTCTTCTTCTGGCACTCTAAAAGTTGGAATAATTAGAAACCCTCATACTCCTTCCTCTCTGCATGGTTCTTCTACTAGTTCATGGGAAATGCCTGCCAAGATCGTCTCACTTTCTAAGTATGAATTATTTAAGAAGAAACTGAAAGGAGTTATTGTAACACCCAGTGTTTGAAGAAACTTTGATAAAGAGCATTGGAAATTGGAAACTCCTCCAATTGAATCCATCGCCAAGCATTTACTCATGCCTTCTTCTTGTAAGAGTTTTGTACACTTCCTGACAAGATAAAGAACTTGAAAAATAGAAAGAGCCGAAGTATCCTTTTCATATACTCATCAGTGGTACATGAAACTATATATAGAGATACGGTTGCATAAGACATTGTGGCTGCTCGTTTTATATCGTTGTCATTCTGTCATTTGTTTGGCATCATCAATGTTGTCATTGACGAGTCACCAGCTTGTTTTGCATTACGTTGCCCTCTTCTCTGAATACTTTTTCATCTCAGATTATGTGGGTGAACTAAGAGGTGAGAAATCGGATGACTAGAGCAGGCAATAATGGGAAAAAAACAAAAAGAAGTACATGAAAAGCCTTCATAAAGTGAATTTTTGCATTGATAGTTCCAAAGCATAAATCCAAAGTGAGATCAACTTGGAAGACAAAACTAGGAAGGAGACCTTACAAAAGCTAACTACCAGAAATCTTCATAGACCCTGGTATCTGGGGTTTGAGTTGTGTTTGGTGATATTTACTCATTTGGGTTTCATTTAAGTTTTAATGTCTTTTTTGGATTTTTATGGATTGAAAATTTTAGATTGCTTAAGACTTATTAGCCGATTAATTTTTTTAATTTTGTCATTTTGTAATATATTTATAGTGTTTGAGATGACCCAATAAAGATCCCATTGGTCTGTCGTCCTAAGTTCACTGGGGTTTACAATTTAATTATTCACAAGTAACTGGAAGATATTGTATTAGCAATCATGGGTTACCTCCTCCAAAATACCTTCTCAAACTAAGTTACATTTTTTTTGTTCAAGTTTAAGTTTTAATGTCTTTTATTTAATGTCTTTTAAGGTGAATTTTTAAGGTGAATTTTTATGTCATTTCATTTAGGTTGGTTTGGTACCTTAGCCCAAATTGTCCCCAACCACTGTTAAGTATTTTTTTATTCTCGCATAAGAAGTCAAACCGTACTTAACCTCCAGTCACCTAGGTCTGGGTTGATTTTGCATTAGTTTAAGTTGGGTTGAACTAATCTAAAGTGAGTCTCTGAGTAATTTGAGCTAGCCTGAATAAGATTGTTTGTCCCTCAAATTATCTTCAAAATTCTTTTGAATGACCAAATTTTAATAGGATTGACCCAGGTTAGCTTAACTTTATTGGCGTCAAACTGGTCTTATTTGATTTAGGTTGACTTAAGGTAAGCCAAGTTAAGCCAAGTCAAATTAAATCAGTGCAAACCAAGTTGAACTGGGCTGCCAAATTAAACCCCTTAGGTTTAATCAAGTTTAAGAAAATGAGACTTAAGTGAAGTCCTCTTTAATTTAGAATTGAGTTATCGTTTTAAGTCTAAGTTGGGTTAGACTTAAATCAATCCTTGATTAAATTGGAGTTAAGACTTAAGTCAAACTTGAAGTTCAGTCTCATGTCAGGTTGATCAGAGTTTAGTCTGATTGTCCCGAATAAAAGTTATTTTTGAGTTAGCCTGAGTATGGTCAGGTGTCCCAGCAGGTTAAGTTGATTTTAGGTTAGCCTGAGTTAGGTCAGGCTAACTCAGAGATTGAGTTGAATAGAGTTAGGTCGGGTTGGCCCTGTGGTTCAATTGAACTGGGTTAACCTGAGTTAGGTCAGGTTGACCAAGTGGTTCAGTTGAATTAGGTTAACCTAAGTTAGGTCTAGTTGACCTAGTGGTTCAGTAGAATTGGGTTAACCTGAGTTAGGCTTGGTTAACCCGATGGTTCAATTGAATTTGTTTAACTCTAGTTAGGTTGGGATGACCTGATGGTTCAGTTGAATTAGGTTAACTCGGGTTAGGTCTAGTTGACCCGATGGTTCGGTTGAATTGGGTTAATCAATGTTAGGTCAGGTCGACTCCACGATTTAGTTGAATTAGGTTAACCCAAATTCGGTCAGGTTAACCAGTTGATCCAGTTGAATTGAGTTGACCCGAGAATTCAGTTGAATTTTGTTGACCCGAGTATATCCGAGTTTATTCGATAATTCAGTTGAATTAGGTTAATCCGACTTAGGTCGAATTAATTCAATCATTTAGTTGAAATGGGTTAACCCGACTTAGGTTGGGTTGGTCGGGTTGACCCAATGGTTTAGTTGAATTGCGTGTAAATTAAGTTAGACCCAACATAACTTAAAGTTGGATTAGTACAAGTTAAGTTGGACTTAGGTTAAGTCTACGTTGAATTAGACCAAAGGAAAGTTCAAATTGGACTAATTCTAAGTTAGGTTAGACTTAAAATGGTTGATGTTTTAGGTCTATGTTAGACCTAAAAGGTGTATATTGGACTAGGTCTAATTTAGGTTAGACCTTAGGTGTGGTTAGGTCTAAGTTGAATTAAACATAGGGTTGAGGTTAGGTCTAATATGAGTTAAAACTACAAGGATTGTGTTAGGTCTATGTTAGGTTAGACCTAGTGTTTAGGGTTCGTTCTAATGTTGACTAGACCTAGAGTTTGGGTTAGGTCTAATGTTGATTAGAATTAAGGTGTAAGGCTTGGTCTAAGTTAGGCTAAACCTAGGGGATGGGTTAGGTCTAAAGTGAGTTAGACCCAAAAGGTTGGACTAGGTCTAATTTAGGTTAGACCTAGGGTTTGGGTTAGGTCAAATATGAGTTAGACCTAAAAGTTTGGGCTAAGTCTAATTTCGGTTTGGTCCAATATTAGTTAAGACCTAAAAGTTTGGGCTAAGTCTAATTTCGGTTTGACATAGAGTTTCGGTTTGGTCCAATATTAGTTAGACCTAAAATGATTGACTAGGTCTAATTTAAATCAGACCTAGGCTTTAGATTTAGGTCCAATGTAGGTTATACCTAAGAGGGCTACTAATTCTAAGTTAGGCTAGACTTAGTGTGTTGGACTAGGTCTAAGTTAGGTTAAACATATGGTTTACGTTTAGGTCTAATGTAGCTTAGACCTAAAGGACCCATTGCTAACTTTGGTCTAGTATGGGCCAGACCCAGGGATAAGCCCAAGTTAAGTATGAGCCATGTTAATACAGATTGTGGTCCAGGCTTGACCTCAATTGGATTGGGTCCAATTATGGCCTCACCTGGATTAGGCGAAGCCAAGTTACACCTAAACCAAATTTAGGCTTAAATTAGCTTAGCCCTAGGCTACTAAGGGTAATTTCATGGTTGGAAGGACAACCATGTTGTTAACCCCTTAGGATCAAAGCCTTAGGTGTTGGTTTAATGCCTTACACCAAGTTTGGAAAAAAATTGGGCTAAAGTGTATGATTTTAATTTTACAATTTTACCCTAAAATTTGTAATTACTTATTTTAGAGTTTTCAAAAGTGGAAATCATTAATTTAGAGATCAATTTCATTACCCTAAGTTTCCTTGTTAATTTTCATTTTTATTTTTAAATTTTCGATTTTCATCTCATTTTTGTAATAATTTTTCAGAATAATTACTATTTTCATAGAAAATTTGTCATTTTCAAGTTAAGGACCCCCACTAACCTTGGAAAAAAGTAGCGGATGTTCCCAAGATTAGAAGAAAGCTCCCCTCAAAATTTCATATTTTTTCTTCTTACAATTAGTTTTAAATAATTAAAATACTCTATAGAGTATTTAGTTAATTAAAAAATTGGTTTAAGTTGATTATTTTAAATTTTACTTTCATTATTTTCCCCTCTATTCACTGAGTTCAGTGGTATTATTATTTTATTTTTATGGTTTTTCTACACAAAGTTATGGAATTTAAAAGTTCTATTTAGTTTTCTGAATTTAAATAATTTAGAAAATTTGAATTATTTGCTTAACTATGTGGTGCGGACTGGATCGTCGTAGTCATCGGATGTTTGTGTTGCACTCCGTGATTGGGTGCACTTTCCACATAGTTAACACGTTGTCCCGAGATCCAGTGCTCCCCTCCCGACGGTTTAGTGCTCTGAATTAATCTCTATCGCCCTTTTCTAATACACATATAGGGATGACATGAGTTCATCGTCTCTATAGGACAGAGAATCGTTAACTGTATGCGATCAAACCCTAAGATCTCACTCGATTCTTAACCAAATCACTTTGGGTTTGCTCTCATAACTTCATCTAAGTTAGATGAACATATCTATATGGTTCAATGAGCATGGAATGTTCGTTTCTTTCATAAAATACTAAAATTGAGGCTAATTTTAGGGATTTTGACCCATACATTGTCCTAAGAGGTGCGTCCTCCATTGGGCTTGACGGGTGACCCGACCTACAATTATGTAATTATTTAACCGAAAATATGGCCAAAATGTTGACCCAATTTATATTTAACGGCTAGTGTACAAAATAATTATGTAAGTCACTTGATTAATAG